TGTTGGAATTCACTTGCCAGGAGACACTCTGCAGCCTTGAAGGCTGAAGTGGAGCAGAGCTCCAAGCGAACAGCAATTGGACATGAGTTAGTCTTGAGGACAACCATCGCAGACCAGTTTGCTGAGTAAAAGAATTCGTAGCAGGTGAGCGCCATGGCTTGCTGACTGTCGTCTCTGAGGGAATTGGAACGATACAGAGAAGCTTAGCATGGCCACTGCTGATAATCCCAACGTTTTCGATCTCCCAGGAGATCAACAGGTTATGAGTAGCCCAAGCGCAGCCACAGTGCGAGGAAACGAAGGTCGTGGACACATGGTGGCAAATGGTACTGGACCAGCTCTTCGAGGAGCACAGGACCTAGATGGGGAAGTTGGACTTCCAGCTGCTCTGGGAAATGAAGTGGACTCGGCAATGACTGCCGATCCAGCCCGGGTTCCGTTCTCGGACCTGCATGATGCAGGTTCCCTGCCAGCGGGAACCAGGGACACAACCCAGCGGCAGCCGGGACCAAAGCCTCCATCGCCAGCGCCTATGACGTCCCGATCTCTCCCTGCGATGGTTGTGACGGAAGTCAGGAACGAAGAGCATCTGCAAACCCCTGGGGTTGGTGGCGTTTTCACTGAAGTACTAAGGGCGGTGCAGACACTGCCGGCTACAGTGGAAGGCTTGGTTAATCGATCTGGAAGATCGAACCATGGAACCCCGGAGCTGCGGGACAGTGTGGAGTATGCCTCTGTGAGATCCTCTGCTGAGCAGGGGCAGTCGCAACCTCCAGCGAGCACTCAGGTACCTTCGGCCCCGCTGTTCGAGCCCCACACCGTGGAGAGGATGCAGAGACTGCACGCAAGCGCACCGTTGTTCTATCCGGGAGAAGAGGCACAGTCCACTTCTCCCCCTAGGCCGCCCTCAACCTCATCGAGCGACGTGCAAGCGGAGGTCAGACGACAGCTGGCTGAATTCATGGCGTTGCACAATGAGGAGAGTCGTAGGCTTAGGGCCCAAGTAGAAGCTCTTTCTCTGGAGAACCGGAGCCTGAGGCTTAGGTCGGAGCAGGATGTACAGGATGGGATGCATAACTTAAGGGCGGTTGGTGGTTACCATGGATTTCCTGGACTTGGGTGGTTGGGAAGGGGATTGGGTTCCCTAATGGGTCAGTCAAGAAACCTTCAGGCCCTGGAATCGGGCCCTCCTCCACCACCTCCTCCCGAGCCGAGACCTCCAACGTATCCTCAGGCCTTGGACTTTCAGGCCACACAGGCGATGCCACAGCGCCAGGGGACTTTCGAGAATCTTCAGGTGCAGGATGTTGCGAGGCAGGCCCCTGGACCAGAACCGCCAGCCCCGCTACCTCGTTACCCCCCTAGTGGTTTAGGCCCTATCCCCATAAGTGCACCGATCTTGCAAACCGCTGCAGGCGATATGGGTATTACCCCGGTAGCTGATAACCCGGACCCACCAAGTTGTACTCTTAATGATAATACCCGAGAGCCCCACCCTTATAGGACCCTCGAGCCTTTAATTCCTGCCCAGGACGCAGCAGCGACCTCGCCGCCCGAAGCGCCAACTGCAGCAGGAGATCTAGAGGCTAAGCTAGACCCAATAAGCGTGGTTCTAACCGGGATGGCACAGCTGCAGACTGTAGTCTCGGAGCTAGCAAGCCCTAAGTCAACGGTGAAGTACGAAGTTATAAAACCAGGGGTAAATGCCCTACCTGATCTCCCGAGTCACGGACCCGAGTCGTCCTTAGCCTTCGCCGACTGGTTGCACTCGTCACGACCCGCCCTCGCGGATGTGTCAGACACCTCCGAGGAGCTTTGGCAGCGAACGGTGGAAGAAGCCACTAGTTGGTATAACGGCTACTTAAGAATGGACCCGCTATCACGACTCACAGCCAAGCCTGAACCCTCGGCTGAGCTGCGCCAGGTGAAGTGGATGCGGGTCTCGCGTCGCATAGAAACGATGATAATAGCCGCTGCCCCGCAAGAGATCCGCGAGGAGGTTAGTGCGTCTAGGACGTCAGGCCTTCTTCCCCTGGTGTGCCGGTTGTTCATAATTTATGGTCCGGGAACACTAATGGAGCGAGAGCTAGGCTTGAGGAACATCTCAGATCCTCCAACGGGGGCCACGATTCAGGAAACAGTGGATATTCTACGTAAGTGGAAGCGTTGGTGTGCTAGGATGACGGAGCTGGGGGGAGTACTACCAGATAGTGCCATCCAGGTTCGCGCTTTGACCAAGGCAACGAAGACGGTGCTGTCTCAGCACCCAGAAGTCGCCTTTAGGATCAACCTCTCCCGGGCTTCCCTCCAGGTGGACATGACTCCGGACGACACCAAGGTGATGAAGCTGCATGCGCAGATGCTCAGCGAGCTGGAGTCAATGTCCCATCGAGGGGATAAGGCTAAGGGGGGAGACAAGGATTCCGCGCAAGCCCCGGCTAAGGTTAAGGGTGTAGAAGGACCTCAACCCCCTCCGCCTAATCCTAAGGCCCCGAGACCTCCAAAGGGTAACCCTAAGCTCCCGAACCCGCCGAAGCCACCAGGACCTGCAGATCAATCGGCATCCACTAAGCCACCTTGTTCGTTTTATACCGGTAAGAATGGCTGTAAGAAGGGTGATGAGTGCACGTTCACGCACGATTGGTCGGCGTTTAGCCCTTCAGAGAAGGCGGCGCGCTGCAAGTCGTGCGGATCTAAGGCCCATAAGACCCCCGAGTGTAAGGCAGGAACCAAGGCAGAGGCCAAGGCTCAACCTAAGGCTCCACGACAACCCAAGAACACTCCCGAAGGACAGCAGCAGCCAACAGCTCCGGTGGGGGAAGCAAATGCGACACAGCAACAGATCAAAAGCATGCTCGCCGACGCCGCCAGGTTTCTGCAACAGGCGATTCCCCCCACGGGAGACGCTCCACCGACAGCATCTCCTATTGCGGCCACTCCGGTGGCACCTCCGGCTAAGGCGGCGTCTGCAAGTGCCTTTCAGGGTACCCCGGTTACATTGGCATCCTTGAGCGCGCAGCTGGAGTCCTTAAGAGCTATGACGGGTAACCCTGAGGTTCGGGCATGTCGTGTGGACCAGGGAGTAGAGCTCCCCAGCATGGCTACTATGGTTTTGCAGCGGCAGGACCTCAGGGGTTCAGTGGAGTCGTATGAGGCTAAGATGACCACCTTCCCTGACAAGGTCCGGGCAGTGGCACTACTTGATAGTGGTGCTACGCATGCTGTTATCCCTTACGAGCCAAGTCTCACAAACCTTCAGAAGGTGCCGGTGACACTCGCGGGAGACGCCAAGCAGGAGTGGCTGCGAACGGAAGGAGGGACCTTGGTGGTCCCACCAGATCGGAGTTCACCAGCCAGTAGGAGCACAGTCCAAACAATACTACCACTAGGAGCGTTAGTAGAGAGCCTGGGTTGTAGTGTAGAGTGGTCTAGGCGTAAGGGCCTAAAGGTCACTCACCCAACATTGGGTGTGTTATGCACAGGCGTGTCGGGCAACACCTGCCCTTACCTCCAGGAACAGCAAGCCCTCCAGCTAATAGCAGAGCTAGAGGCCATGAGGCTTGAGGGATTTCATCAGGAAATTCAGAACTTGCAGTGCCAACTGGATGTGATGCAAAGGGAGCCCGACCCTACCGAG